AATATAAGGTTATGTATGATGGAATAATTTCTGAAGATAACACACTGTACAAAGACATGAAATAAAAAAGGACGTCTCATAAACCTCTGCTTTTGTTCTAAGTTGTTAGCAATCCCTATAGCTCAATGTCATTTAATTAAAAGATTTAAAATTATATCAAAGGGAAAAATTTTTTTTTTTTTTTGGTTTCGGCTAGTCATTTTAGGATTTTCCTTTAAATTATGCCTTAAATTTGACTGACAAGAAGTTCATGTACTAGAACAGAAAATTAAGTTATTCTGCATCTGTCTTTTAGAATCAAATTATCTACTTGATAATTTGAATACTGCTAGGGCAAATTGGCCCTAGATCTCTGCTGTGTTCAAGCTCCTTAACAAGCTCCTCCCTCATTTCCATGCATGGACAGAAAAAAAGGTATTGTTTTTCCTCTGCACTGTGATGCAGCCTGCCATCAATACAGATGGATTCCTTCTTGGACTGAGGAGTCTCTGGGCTTGAGGTCTCCTAACAGTCTAGTTATCCCAGAACTTCTTATCTGATCTTTCTTCCATGTCTTTGCATCCTTTCCTTCCTTATCCCTCTCTCCCAAATAAAAATCAGCCTTACTTTACTTTGATTTCAAAACTACAAGTTATGTAAGATGCTTTGATGTGAAGAAAAGGCTCAAAGGAAACCATTCGAACCGTGGCAGTTGATCCTACTCCAAAAAAAGACTTAAAAATCACTCCGCAGAGCCATACAGAGCTGGTGCCAGGTTTGCACCTAGCAATAATCACTGGTTCTGATGAAATACAAAAAAGGAAGTCTTTTCATGTAAAATGCTTAGAAGTAAATATTTTAAGTGTTTTATACTTTTTCTGAACCCAGTAAGACAGGTTTATAAGTCTGGATTATTTGGTGTTTCTCCTCTTTTAATTAGTAGTATACCCAGTTATTTTAGCAGGAAATCAATATTTATAATAATAATACCTTCCATTTCACTTAGCAGGGTAAATCTTATTATCCTCATTTTGTAAATAACAATTCCCCATGTAAAGGGTTAAAGGACACTCAACTCTGTTTACCAATGGGGAAGCCCAAAGGTATTGACTCACCGACTGCAAACTTGAATGAGAAAGACAAGTGTCCAGTTATACACTTATGTAATTTATTATTCATGCCCAAGAGCAGTGTCCCAGTATGGGGTGGTCAGCAGTCAGGATATTTAGACTGGCTTACCAGACTGAATTTTTGTTTTATTAACATGTATTTATTCGGTGATAATACCTAATTCTTTGTATAGCCCTTATTCACTCTGGTAGAGTTTGACATGGCAAGAGGGCCTAGGTTTTACATCTGTACTTCTTAAACTATCTGTGCGTAAGGGTCAGTTTCTCCCTAATCAGTCTTGAGTTAAATAAAATAGAAATAAGTTATTTAAAAAATCATGGCTTTAGATGTTGCAGCAGTATCAAATTGTCCTAAAGGATTCCAAATGGTTAATCTCAATTATTTGCAGGCTGCTTTACAAAAGGGGGTACAGGGGGCTTCAGACCGGCATGGATCCTTGCTGAATAGCATATGACCACTCATGGAAATTCTGGCCTTACCTAAGAAGTCTTGAGCCACTGTTGGAGCACCATGGCACCAGACCATGCTTATTTCTGTCACAAACAGAAAAAAGAACCGGGGCTTCCTTCTTTTCCCTTTGATGATTTCTATCTCCCTTCAACCACTTTATCCAAGGATACGCTAAAACTGGTAGCCACTCCTAGCATAGCTCTTGCAGACCCATCATGCTGCTAAGAAACTCAACTTGGCTTCTTGCTGCAGTTCCACCTCTCAGGAACATGATCGCATTAGCGAATCTTGGTCAACTATGAATGATAGCTTCTTTGGAAAGAACTTCAGCGGCCTGTCATCTAGCCTGGACTCGGGCAGTGCCCTCTCAGGGGGACTCCCGTTTGAGTGTTTAATGTAGATATTTGTCCTGTTCCCAAGCACATTTGTTTACAATGATGTCGTGTGGACCTTTGTGTCAGTATAGATTGTTTGCTTCTCTTACCTCTGTAAATGAAGCGTCTCTTTTATCACTCAGGCTACCAACAAAGTTCTGCATCTTGCTTTACCTGGACCTCTGCCACCAGAAGTAAGTAGTTTAGCAGAGACAGCGACTCTGGACTAGAAGAGACACTGAAAGGCAGCAGTTTCAGCAATAGGAGCAGACATCCTGACAGGCCAGGAGAACAGAGAGACCATATGGGACTGCTGTGCATGCTGGGTGAGGGGAGACAGGGGGGGGACAACAGGAGATGCCTCAGGTGGGTTTGATCAGTTGCTATGGTTTCTAAGGCCAGTGTTAATACCAGCGGCTGGCAGCTGTGTAAGTACATTATCGGCATGCAGATTTGAGTGCAGGCTTCCTGGGAAGAACCTGAGGAAGAAATGACTGTACGCTGCTCAGGGTGGGTTTCAGCCTGAGAAACAATCCGTCGTGAAAGGTTCTGATAAAAGAGCAGTCAAGGGAGTGGATTCGATGGGAAAGGAAAAACGGTGTAGAAGAGGGCATCACTGTGCCCTGGAGACCGGCGCTGTTCAGGAGAAGCTCTACACCTTCTCATCACAAACTCGGTGTGCTCCCCTGGGAAGTGGCGTCACGGAGCAACAGTCACTGTGCTCGGGGAACTAGGAGTCAGAATTTCTGGGTGCAAGTCCTGGACCCCAAGTTAGCATCTTGGCAACCTTAACAAGCCATCTCACCTTTCTTCACCTCTGGTTTCTCATCCGTTAAACATTCACTGAGCTCTGGAAGCTGTTACGAGGTTCAAATGAGATAATCGATACAAAAATCACAATTTAAAATTTCTACAACACAAACCCTCTTCCTTCCTTACCCTTTTCCCCTGCCCCCAAGAAGACCAGCCTAAGGTAGACTAGTTTCTACGAATGACACTTTAAAAAAAAAAAGTGTAATTCAGGACTCCAGGATCATCCAGATCACCATGTACCCACATTATTATATTGACTGTTCTGAGAAGATAGCTACATGAGAGCATTTGATCTGAAGGCTGGTTTTATCTACAGGATGACAGAGGGACATCTGTGTTTGAAAATTCATAAGAATGGACACCCAGGGGCACATACCTACCCATGCACTTTATGTAAAATAATAATGCTAGGAGTCAGCCTTATAAGGAATAGCCTATAATTATCAGAGCTTCTTTTTTAAGTAACTTAAATAAATGACAAATTTCTCCTTATAATCAAACTGGTTATCATGGTTCAAACCATATGATTGTGGTCCAGAGAGAATTTTATATCACAAGGCTGAGTAGAACTGCCTATGAAAGAAAATTTTCTATTGTAAAAGTAGTACAATTCCCTTTATCCTGCTTTCCCTAATCTAATATCTAACATAAGCATAGTAAAATTGTTGAAACGAAGAACTTAGGATTGATACCATACTATTAACTCATCTAGAGACTCTGTTCAAGTTTTCTAGTTCTCCCACTAATGTCCTTTTTCTGGTCTCGGATTTCACATTGTATTTCTTTCTTTGTCTTTAAAAAAGTCTTTCCAAACTTTACACTTGGAAGAGTACTAGCCACTGTTGTGTAGAGTGCTCTTTAATTTTGGTTCATCTGGTGTTTTCTCATGATTCAATTGAGGTTATAAATTTTTGACAAGAAAACCACAAAAGAAATGATGTGTCCTTCTCGATGAATATAGTGGAAGGTATGTGATGGCATGCATCACTGGTAATGTTAGCTTTGATCACTTAGTTAAGGTGGGGTCTGTTAGGTTTTTCCATTATAAACTAGGGATTTTTCTCTTTGCAATTAATAAGTATCTTTTTGTTGTTGCTTTCTTAATTGATGGTTAAGGTTGGAGTAAATGTCATTCAGAAAAGGTTGCAAAGCGCCCCGTCCTGGTGGAAAGAAGCTGTGCCCTAGAAAGTGATGGAGTCATTATTTAAGTGTTTGAGTAGATTTCTCTCAATCCATGCTGAAATGGATTGCCTGACATTACATTGCAGGATTTGTAAGTCCTACCTCCAGGCAAATCTCATAGTTACTAGCAAAAATGAAAGTGTGAAATGCTTTTTAATGTATATTTAACAACACATAGTCTGGTGATTACTGATGTGTATTCTCCGTGGACTCCCTTTGCTATCAGAGGAGGATGTTAAGAGACAACATTTTTACACATTTATTCTATCTAAATCCATCACAGGTTTACTTTCTAAATATCTGTAACTGTCATTTATAACAAGGGCATAAAAATCAAATACTTTAATTCTAACTCAAACTTTGAATCATAGGATTGCAATCAATTTTCTGGACAAGTAGAGTTACTGTTTTTTCTTACTCTACCTTATGAAATTGCCCACTATTAAATGGCACTAGAATACAGCCATTTAAAAAAATAAAAATAGATATGGCTTAGTAATGGGGGTGTAGGAGGTAATGTCACTTTATTCATCTTTTTTATTTAGAAATTCACATAATAGCTCCTATTTAAAGGAATTTTCATCATTGAATCCAGTGTCGTGTCTGCGTGTGTTGAAGAAATAAAATTCACAAAATGTATTTAATTTCTTCCTACAGTGTCATTATTTAATAAGGATTAAGGTACCATATTTTTTGCTTTTTTACTGGGTTGCACAGCAAGAGTTCATGTCTTGTACTAATGTATGCTAAATATTTGCATAGTATAGAGACCATTATTGTTAAAATAGCAGTAGTGAAGGTGTTTTAGATCACAGAGCCCCAGTGGCCTACATTTTGTTTGTTTTGACATTGTTAAGCTCAATCTGTTTCTCTAACTGTGACTCTAATGACTACATTTGCATGGCAGAAAAGTTTGCTTGGTGGGTTGACTTTTATTAACAGTGTCTGCATGTTGTTTTCTGCTCTTGGTGTTCCAGGAGCAGACAGAGCACCTTCAGTTCCATTGAATAGTTATACACAATCAATAAGTTTCTGTGTTTGTCTTTGTTGTTTCTTTGATGTGGCCTCTAGGATGCTGCTGGCAAGGTGCTGGACCGCTGGGCCATCATGTCTCGAGAAGAGGAAATCATCACCCTTCAGCAGTTTCTGCGGTTTGGAGAAACCAAATCCATTGTAGAGCTGATGGCAATTCAGGAGAAAGAAGGGCAGGCTGTGGCCGTTCCGTCTTCAAAGACAGACTCAGACATTAGGACTTTCATTGAGAGCAATAATCGCACCAGGAGTCCCAGCCTCCTTGCTCACCTAGAGAACAGCAACCCTTCCAGCATTCATCACTTCGAAAACATCCCCAACAGCCTTGCATTTCTGCTTCCATTCCAGTACATAAACCCAGTCTCGGCCCCACTGCTAGGATTGCCTCCCAACGGGCTCCTGTTAGAGCAACCAGGACTGAGGCTGCGGGAACCCAGCCTTTCAACTCAGAATGAGTATAATGAGAGCAGCGAGTCTGAAGTATCTCCCACACCTTATAAGAACGATCAGACTCCCAATAGAAACGCCCTGACCAGCATTACTAACGTGGAGCCCAAAACCGAGCCAACCTGCGTGTCCCCCATTCAGAATTCTGCCCCGGTCAGTGACCTGACCAAAACGGAACACCCAAAAAGCTCATTCCGGATCCACCGGATGAGAAGGATGGGGTCAGCCTCTAGGAAAGGAAGAGTGTTCTGTAACGCATGTGGGAAGACATTCTATGATAAAGGTACTCTCAAAATTCATTATAATGCTGTTCACCTGAAGATCAAACATCGATGCACCATTGAAGGCTGCAACATGGTCTTTAGCTCCCTCCGAAGCCGCAATCGTCACAGTGCAAACCCTAACCCTCGCCTCCACATGCCTATGCTAAGGAATAACCGAGACAAAGATTTAATCCGGGCCACATCAGGAGCTGCCACCCCCGTCATAGCGAGTACAAAATCAAATCTCACACTCACCAGCCCCGGCCGGCCCCCGATGGGTTTTACCACTCCCCCACTAGACCCCGTCTTACAGAACCCTCTCCCCAGCCAGCTGGTGTTTTCCGGGCTAAAGACTGTCCAACCAGTTCCTCCATTTTATAGAAGTTTACTCACTCCAGGAGAAATGGTGAGTCCTCCCACATCCCTCCCGACCAGTCCCCTCATTCCAACCAGTGGTACCATAGAGCAGCACCCCGTGCCACCCTCTGAGCCAGCAGCGCCAGTAGTGATGATGGCCACTCATGAGCCCAGTGCCGACCTGGCCCCCAAGAAGAAGCCCAGGAAGTCCAGCATGCCTGTGAAGATCGAGAAGGAAATCATCGATACCGCCGATGAGTTTGACGATGAAGACGATGACCCCAATGACCCTGGAGCTGTGGTCAATGACGTGAGCCATGACAATCATTGCCACTCCCAAGAGGAGATGAGTCCAGGCATGTCTGTGCAGGACTTTTCTAAGCACAGCAGGTCCCGGTGCATTTCAAGGACTGAAATCAGAAGGGCTGACAGCATGACTTCTGAGGATCAAGAACCTGAGCGGGACTATGAGAACGAGTCCGAGTCTTCAGAGCCCAAACTAGGTGAGGAATCCATGGAAGGGGATGAGCACATGCACAGCGAAGTGAGCGAAAAGGTCCTGATGAGCAGTGAGAGGCCCGACGAGAACCACAGTGAGCCCTCTCACCAGGACATCATCAAGGTGAAGGAAGAATTTGCAGATCCCACTTATGACATGTTTTACATGAGCCAGTACGGACTATACAATGGTGGGGGAGCCAGCATGGCGGCCCTGCACGAAAGTTTTGCCTCCTCTCTGAATTACGGCAGCCCTCAGAAGTTCTCCCCAGAAGGTGACCTGTGTTCCAGCCCAGACCCCAAAATCTGTTACGTGTGCAAGAAGAGTTTCAAAAGCTCCTACAGCGTGAAGCTTCACTACAGGAACGTTCACTTAAAAGAGATGCATGTCTGCACGGTGGCTGGCTGCAACGCTGCCTTCCCCTCTCGCCGGAGCAGAGACAGGTCAGTAAATCTCCATTGGCTGCTCCTGCTGGGGGGAGGGGGCCTGTCATTAAAAAATCCAACTTAGATGTTTTGATGCACTCTAGAGATTGTCCACAGTGGCCACACAATAACCAAGCTGCCATGCTCATGAAGGATTGTTGCAGTTGGTGCTTGTTATGATTAAGCATGCAGAATCATGTGCCATCTTACCCAGTAATGCACGCCATTTTTCTCCGTGCTCTGTGTATGTGTGTGTGTATGTTTTCCCATGCATCTAGGTGTGTGAATCAGTTAACTGTGTACACAGTTCCCTGCTTCCCCATGAACCTTCACTTAGAAGCCTCAGCTTCTGTTATAAATATTTCTGCTTTGCCTTGTGGCTTTTTAAATTAAATCAATATATTATCTTCATACACACATATTTATCCAATATAGAAACAGAAATTTACGGATGGAAAGAACCATAGGTCCAGGACATCGAGACAGCCTGCATCTCCGTAGGTATAACCAGAAATGTTATCATTCTTACATGAGTATTTAGTGTGTCCTTGAATTCTTTGAGTCACAAAAATATCAGAAGAAAACGGGACCAAAGTAATTGTTCATATGGGGAAATGGTGTGGTGATACGGGTTTCTGTATGTTAGCTTCACAATGTATTTGAGCACATCTCTAAAACACAGTCTAACATGGGAATTATGCACACAGAAGGGGAGGCATACATATACTTTTAGGAGCAGTTAGAATATATTATGTCCAGCCTTCAGATGACATCACACCTTAGCTATGTAGCTGCAGCTCTGAAACAGTTGGGCTTAAACAGAAGCAGCTGGTCCTAAACCTACAATGTTCTTTTTCAGCCCTAAAGAAAATGCAATATAAATGGAATGTGTCAAGGTGGTCAGTGGTGGGGAACCGCAGTTACCCTGCCCTTGGGGAGATAAGCTTGTGAGCAGATCATTTACATAATACACCAGCCCAACCAGTGACACACCAGTTAATTCTCCCTATTATATTGGATGTGGGTTTTTTTTTTTGTTTTACATTGTCTTTTAAAAATATTTTTAGAGAAAATTTTATTACATGCTAAAAGTCAATAGATGTGGAAGAAACAAAATTAACTAGGAAGTTTGCAAGTAGCCACCACCCAAATTCTAGTGCTTATCAATTAGGTAGAATTCCTTGACAATGTAACATATAATGGAAGTACCATTGAAAAGTAGTGACTTGCTTCTGGAATACTCTGTTTTGTCTTCATATTTTAAAGATTAGTCTTTTTAAAAATAAAAGTTAAAATAGTTTTATTGTACTGAAGTACAGCTCAAGGGGTCCAATTCATGAAAAGCAAAATTTCTGAGAAAATGTGGCTTACTTTCTACAACTCAAAACATGCTTTGAAGAGAAATCTATCTTCTTAAAGCTTTCCCCTCCCTAGTCCCGTACCCCCCACTCCTTTTTACCTTGTTCTGTAAAAAATGGTTTATGATCACAAAATTCTTTTCAGTTCCAGGGTATCGTAGACAGTCCCAGAATATGGTAGATAAGATAGCTATAGTACTTTAAATAATAAAATATAATACTGTACCCAACCTCTTCCTCCCCAAGTTTGTGAGTAATGTTCATTCTTTTAAATTTGAAATAGTGCACTAGTGATAATGAGGTTAATGCATTGGATTCTTTTTTTTAACAAAAATAAAAGACTCATGAAAACCTGCATAAAATATTTATGGAAATGGAGTGTTTGAAGACAAGCCAAAATTTAAGCCTATTTGCATGAATTCCTATCACTGTTTCAGTTTGCTTGCTGAAAATATTGCAAGTCATAACACTGGAATAAAATGACCCTGGGTCCAAAAGGCTACAACATCCAAAGCTTGGTGCTTTCCTTTATGTCACTGTGTTTTTTATGTCCTAATGTATAAGGAGGTACTGTTGAAAAGGTGGTTTGTCTGAGGAAAAAGCATTTATTGATAGGGGAATGTTTCAGTCTCCATTTTTATTCTAAGGATTGGGAGCTTGCCAAGTGACCAAGCTTATGAAAACACTAGAGGCCCGATGCATGAAATTCATGCACTCATGGAGGTGCCCCTCAGCCTGTCCTGCACCCCCTAGCAGTCCAGGAGCCGTGGGGGATGTCTGACTGCTGGCTTAGGCCCGCTCTCTGGGGAGCAGGCCTAAGCCGGCAGTTGGACATCCTTAGTGCTGCCACAGAGGCGGGAGAGTCTCCAGCCACCACCACTGCGCTCGCCAGCTGTGAGCCTGGCTTCTGGCTGAGCGGCGCTCCCCCTGTGGGAGCACACTGACCACCAGGAGGCAGCTCCTGCGTTGAGTGTTTGCCCACTGGTGGTCAGTGCACATCATAGCGACCGGTTGTTCTGCCATCCAGTCAATTTGCATATTAGCCTTTGATTATATAGGATAGGCCAGTGTCTAGGATAACTAGTATATTCTAGGTGGGAAAACAGTACTGATATTCTCCAGGTGTGTTTAGTCATATAGGGAAGCCTCACAAGACAGGGGGTACATTTTATTTGGCTGAAATATCCCATCACACCTAATCTTTTAAATTCTGGATATTGTCACACATGATCAGTGAAGAAAATTGAAAAAAATACTGTACAAAGAAGGTAATTTGATTGTCACTTGAAAATTTGCTTTTCAAGAATACTCAAATATTGTAATCCCTCACTAAAAGCTTAAAAAAATTGTGATACTTTAATTTTGACTTTTTTTGGCTAAGAAGAAATGTGTTCATCCCTGTTGAATCTATGACTTGAAATAATATACAACACAAGTATATTTACTACCAAATATCCGGAAACAGTGAGGCCTTTTGGGTACCAGCCTTCTCCTGCATCTCAGCAGATTGCACTCGAACATAATTATATCCCTGTTTCATTCAGCCTTTTATCACCATTTTGTCAGCTAATATTGACCTGTAATTTAATCTTATTCACAAATCCTCTTGAATCACATCTCTGATCTACCCGCTTAGACTTACCTTCCCCTTCTCTTCACCTTTCCTGTGTTAGTCACGAGAACCCCAGACACTTTGGGCCCCTGCTTTTCCCTCTGCAATGAAGCCAAGACAAGTTTTCTTTTCTTTTCTTTGAGCCAAGACCTTCCCAAACAGAAACCATCCTTTGCCTTTAATCCTGCTGTCCTCAGGCCCATTTCTTTCCTCTCCCCAGAGTCTTGATTCATCCACCCTTGACTGCACAATGTCTTCCTTGTGCAAATAAAGCATTAGAGGGGATTTGGACTGGGGGCTGAGGTACGCAAGGCTACAGGGTTTCTAGGATGCCTGTGATAAAACTAACAGAATAACCCCTTCCCTTCTGTTCATGAAAGCAGCCTTCTTGTCTTTGGGCTTAGAACACCTTAACAGAGCAGCATACACACCTTCTTGGGCTTCTTCCAAGAAGGTTATACACGAGGGAGGTGTATTTTTGTCTCTACATAGGCATGTTAGTAACATGAAAGTAAAAAGATGTTAAATACTGTGTTTTAGATTTGGCAGCTAGTTAGCAGAGATTTCCAGATTGTTGCTTATGTTCTTTCTAGATTTTATAAGATCAAGTTGAAGGCTTTTTGATAAGCAAGAATGTTCTTTGTCTAAAGGCAGCAAAAAGAGAGAAGGAGAGAGAGTGGTGCACACACAAGGTTAGCGATGGCTGAGGATTCTAAGCCTCCTTCTTGACACTGTTGTGAATGAGTGTGAGTTTGCAAAATTCAAAAGCAGAGAGGACCACCATTCCACACTAACGACAAAGAGCAAGCTAGTAAACATAAAAGCCAATTCATTCTGTGGGTAGGTGGCTATTAGAATAACGTAAATTATTTTCTCTCTAAAGAACTATGATACCATAAGATGATAATATTATGTAGTGTTAGTCCTGAAAGTCTCTAAACTCCTTTCTTTCCTTCCTTCTTGTTTATTCCATCATTTTTCTGCTACTCAGAAGCTGTTCTGTCAGGGAACAGGAGGTTGGCCCTCAGTTTTGAAGAATACAGATGAAATACTCCCTGAGAAAAAGTAAAAATAACTAACTGGCCTAGAACCTACAGTCCCCATAAGAGGAATTTTCTAGAAGACACTGTCATAGAATTAGCTGGGCCTAGTTTGCCTTTGGTCGCATTCTCATCCTCTGTCTTGAATTTTGATCCCTGGGAGGGCTGAGTGGCCATGAATCACCTATATTTAAGGGAAGCCCATTTACTAATGCCAGTTGATTTTTATTCAGAAAATACACAAATACCCTCTGTCCTCTTCTTCCCATTTGTTAATATGTTAAAATCTGTTTACATCTGCTTTAGTGATTGGCAATTTTAAAACTCCCTCATCTGAAAGGAAGACTTTCTATACCGAAACCAGGTGATTTGCATAGAAAGAAGTATATGTCTCTTTGTTTTTCATCGTAACAGGACTTTCACCATCTTTGTACCTCTCTTTCTCTGAGAATAGTGGCCAATAATTGCCAAAGTTTGTCTTAAGTTTTATCAGAAAGGTAAAGTATATATGTTTGATTTTCAAGGTGTAAGAAAGGTGATTTTGCTCCATGAATAAATTTAAAAACAAAATAATATTTGCTTTGGGTGATTTATAAATAAATATGAGGCAACCATTGGTACCAAGTGCAAACCTTCTCTTTGATTGCTAGTTAAATCCGTCCAGATTTAAACATGTAAACTTCTTGATTTATATGGAGTAGGACATCTGTATTTGGTTTATTAAAACCTGCTGATGTCTCCAGAACTAAATTTGTTCATATACAGGCCTCTGGGTAGCTGTAGCTAAAAAGCAGAGATGTATAGTTTTTGCTTGTCTTATTACCTGACTTCCAGCCCTGTACAGGTGTGCAGGAATAAATTAACGTGAGCTACCTCTGATGAGCCACTGCATAGATTAACAACAGAGGTGAAGATGCGAAAACATGCTACCTGCCTCCTGTTATCACCTTCTCAGCAGCAACATCCATTTTTCTCTCATCATTCTCTATGCTTGGAAACTTACAGAGAACTTTTCTAGGGAAAGATTTTCAATAAATACTCTTGATTCCACTAGGCAATACCTCCCAGAAATGAGCCACTTAGCACCAATTCAAGATAACTATTAGTATATTTGCCCTAATATAATTAGCTGTCGAATACAGTATGTTAATCCTCTCCAGATGCAAGAAGAGAACATTTTAAGGTATCAGCCATTTATCTCGTGTCCTATACATTTGCCAATCAAACTGCAATTCTCCTTTTCCACAATTCTTTCATGAAGTGAAGTGGTGCAGTTCCTCTGACTTCTAAATGTTAAGGAAGCGATTTTTTTTCCCCTGTTACTCTATTTGGTTTCACAGTAGAGCCAACAGATCAATAGGTCTTTTGTACTTATTTCCATTACCTTCCATCAAAGGCAAACAAACAAAATAAATCCCCCTCTGAGTAATTGCTGGTTGTGCCCTCCTCAAGCGAAACTTTGGTAGTAAGATAAACTCCGGTGTCATTCCT